ACAGTTACCCACCTTTGAATAAGGTGGGTAAGATAATCGTGCCACAAAATCCCTGCATGTGCTTTCATTGAGTAACTAAAGTACAACAGCAAGAGCAGATGAAACAGTCCTGTGAAACTAAAGAGATTATAAATGTTGAGGATCTGACAGGTCCGCTCCATAACGAAGATAAACATAAATAAATCCACATCCAGTTTGATTCATTTAACTCTTGTTCTTAGGGGAAGCTGCCAAATGAAAATTAGAAGTGAATTACTACTACTTTAATTAAGACCTGACAGGAAACCGTTCTACACACTAGAAATAAATACAGAACAAGAGCACCACCTAGAGGCTGCTTTCAGCTAATGCAGCTAGTCATGTCCCAACATGTCCTGTGCATGAGGAGGTCCAGACAAAGAACTACAGTAACCAAATATATAGATATTTTCACTGCTTAATTCACTTCCTAGTTCAAAATGATAGGAAAAATAGAGAAGCGCTTAAGATAAACAAAAATACAACTGTGGATAAAGGTTAACCGTTGGTACTCAACCTTTTTATTTTACTATATCCCAACAGCAAAGCAAGAGAAGTTCAGGTGAGCCATCAGATTTTAACAAACATTAAGTTACTCTTTTGATAAATTACACAAAACCAGGGATGCCATTGCTTCTATACTTACCTTCCTTCTCAGTCACTGAAGAGATTATTTGCTGGACTCTTACTTGTAATTAATAACTGTTGGTTACTTCGATGCTGCACAGCTTTTTACTTTAATTATAATTTTATCCAGTCTTCAACCACAGCTTTACACAAGTGACTTTATTTGAAAAGTTTGTTTTCCCTCAGATGTCAGATCAACATATCTGCTATAGATTTGGCTAGATGTGTAAAAAGGTGATCCCAGCAGCATTAATTACCTTAATGCTGAGAGGTTAGCAAAAAACTGAATGGCTCTTGATGACAAGCAATTCCATATCACATGAAGAGTGGAAAATATTTAGAAATTCTGTTCAAGTGTATTTTTTTTTAGGCTCACGCTATATGAGAAGCTTCTGCTCACAAACTTTAGAATCACAAAACCAGTGTTGGAAACAAGTTGAATCATTTATTTTGGACTGAATCAATGAATACAAAACATTTGGGGTCGGCTGACAGTGCGAAACCACAGAAATTATTTACAAATGTGTTATCTACAAGGAATGAGATACTTGAAATATACTTTTCCAAAACAGGCAAAAATAGAGGGACACACACAGCTGTGGGGTGAGTAAGTGCTGACATTTACACCGGGCTGTTTGGACCACAGCCAGCCGCTCAGAGCATCAGTCCAATCACTGAAGCTTCATCACACTGATGACATCACTCGTACCGCTGACTGTAAATACAAGTTGAAACTGCACCTCTCACCATGTGGCACCAGAATCCTCAGAGTGATCAATAAACCAACGAGATACCTTCAGATCACCCAAGAAGAGTCCCAGTTGAACACTTTCTCTATTCTCCCTTTTGGTTCAGATATAAAACTACTTAAGAAGCCTCTTCATCGATCTTTGGCGCCAAGTAGTACTTGACATGTCCCATATCAGCAATCTTGTACTCCACCACTGGAGAAAGACAAAGAACAGTTAGGTGAGGGCCAGTCTTTGCAGCACGCAGAGATTTGAGTACTAAGAGACGCAGTGACTTGTACTAACCGAGGGGGATATCAGCAGACATGCTGAGGGTGACCGTCTTGGACAGCGGCGTGGCCTTGGTGAAGAAGTTCAGGTAGTTGAGGGCAAAGATCAGCTGGACGGGCTCATTCATCTCAATGGTGACCTAATGACAGAAAGTTGATAATCAACACTTGGAAGTTCATTTCTGTCTTCAAATTGCCTTTTTGGGCAGCTTGTCGTCCAAAACGTTCAAACATGTTCTTTTTTGATAATATTAACATTCAATAGAAACAACAGGAGCTCCATAAGATCAGAGCTGGAACTGGGTGATGATGCTGAGGATCCTACACAAAAACCATTCATAAACCATTTTTGATAATATTAACATTCAACACAAACAACAGAAGCTCCATAAGAGCAGAGCTGGAACAGTCCCTTTAAAAGGTAAATAAATATACATGTAAATAAATCAATAGAGAACATTTAAAGTTGATGTAGCAACGTAGTAGAGTCTGCAAATATCTGGTTAAAAAAAGAAAACTAGTCATTGCTCTCTTGTGGGAAATCTATGTTATGGCAGACAGGTTATTAAATGTATCCTTCATTACTGCCTTAAAGTGACAATCAACAGCTAGTGGTGATGTTATGGCTCAGATTGTAGATCAACTATTGCTTTGATTCAGACTCAAATAGTCTCACTTACTGCCTCATCCTCTTTGTCTACGTTGCTGGTTTGGGACAGCTTGACGTTTCCTGTGCCCAGCTCTCCTGTGGCAGAGAACTTGACTCCATCCTTGGCGCAGGAGATCATGACGGCGTCGCCAATCTGGGACAGGTCACGGCAGATACGGGCAAATTCCCCAGAGGGCATCTTCACCACACAGCTATACTCCTGCTCCTGAGAGGGAGACAGGGGAGGATTAGGAACTCTGTGCGTGTAAATTACTGTTTACAAGACAAGGACATGCCACAGATGACTTACTGGAATACCCAGCTGCTCTACATCCAGGTCCATCAACTTCATCTCATAATCTGAGACTTTCTCCTGATCTGTCAGACAAAATAACAAAAAGTTAATTGAGGAAAAAGCAAAAGTGCCACTTCATTCTGTTTAATACAATAACTGAGGAACGTACTGAGTGTCTCAAACACAAGGGCCAGTGTGTCTGCATTGTCTTCTGCTCTGAGAGTGATGATGTCTTCATTTCCTGCACACTTCAGGATTTTTGACATACTGTTGGAAACCAAGAGAAAAGGTCATGTTAGACATAGGTTTAAAATCTTTAAAAGCAGGGTTTGCAGGGCAGAAAGAAGAAGACCTACAATTTATTTTAAAAACAAACAACTGCTTTCGTGATAGATGGCAAGTTTTCATCTTAAAAGAAAAGACAAATTAGCCTTAGTCAACCCGTAAAGCAAAAAAAGAAAAGAGAGCTTGAATGCTTAATTAAGAAGTAGGACTTTAATTTATTCATTTTTATGTCAATTTTATTTCATTAAAAAAAAACAATAAAGTTAAGAAAAACAAACAAACATAAAATCTCAAATTTTGAATGAAAAGGAGCAGAGGGAAGATTAATCTTATAATATCTGCCCCTCCAAGTAGACTTTAATTGTCATCTATTGATAATTCAATTCAATCTTAAGAGTCCAAATTCTGTCAACTTTGGATTGTTTTTTTTTTTTTTAAATATCAAATAAGTTGACAAAACGTCTATGCGCATGCTCCGACATCATCATAGAGTATCAAAACGTCATCCACAGCACCGGCGTAACGTCACAAAGAGCGGCAGTGGGGCAACGGAAGTAGAAATTTCCCGGGTTCAACATTTCCCGCCAACCCTTCCTGTGAAGAATTTGGCGCTAACGTGACGCCACTACGCAATCACAATGTCGCCAGTGCCTCCCAAAATGATGCCGCAGAATAATTTAAAGTGCAAGTGGCAATTTTTAAACGGAGAAAGGTTATTATTATTATTTATTATTATTTTTAAATGAGTTATAAAGTCTTGGAAGGTTTTAACGGAGCGCTGACATTAAAGAGTTAACTTTTGATCGGTGCAGCAGAGACATGCCCGGGCAATTCCGCCAAGATGGCCACTGCAACATAGAGCCTTAAACTTTATCAAACAAAAAAAATGCTTAAGTCACCGTTTGATCGTGTTAGTGGTTACAGCTGTAAACAAAACAAACTTAATGTTCTCTTCTATCACGTGTCGTGTTTTGCTCTACCTGCTGAGGTTGACCCCCATGGCCAGGTTTCTGTCGCAGCGGTACGAGTCGAAGCCGTCGTGCCTCAGGGTGAGCTGCACCAGGGAGACGTGAGAGGAGTCCATGCTCTGCAGAGAGATACCAGACGAGCTGACATCCCAACAGGCTTCTGTGATCAGATCCTTCAGAGCCTCCAGCACCTTCTTCAGGATGGATCCCTGCACCAGGCGAGCCTCAAACATGGTTGCTGCGGAGTAGTATTGAAAGTCTGCGTGGATTCAAACAAAAATGACGTTTAGTCGTCTTTCTGCGTCACTCCGTCAAAACTGGAGGCTGCAGCTGAAGTTTTCACACAAAAGTAAGCAGAGTCTCCTCTTGAGAGTTCAGCCTTTGTGTGTTGTTGGCAGAGCAAGAAGCAGCGCGCAGTCACGACTCTCACTGCTGAGGGAAAAGGTTTGAGCTGTAAGCGCGCGTTAACGTCAGCCTTTAAAGACTCGGCGCGTCTGCGTCATTTCCGGATCCTTGTTGTTCATCGCACATGAATTCGCAGCGATTATACAAGTGGTTACCAATGTCGGCCATGTTGGAGAGGACAATTATGAAAGTGTTTGACGCATGAACAAAAGAAAATAAACTAAATCAAAACTGAATTAATGTAAAGTGTTATCCAAAACACTACATTATAGTTATTTCGATAACAATCCCTAAAGGAAACTGTTTGGTTTATTTAGTTTTGTGTTGTACAAAGTGTTCAAACAAAAAAAATAATGTTCCCTTTTCCAAAATTGTGGGTTCTGATCTATGTTTTTGATGCATGTTGGCATAGTTAAGAAATTATAACAGAATAATGTATATTCAGACTTATGTTAACTGTTCTTTTGAACGGATCTTCATTGACCAAATGGGACAAACATTGTTTTTCTTTAACCTCTTTTTCATCAAACGCTGTATTGCAGCATCAGTGCGACTCAGAACACTGTGAAAAAATAATGAGTTTGGGAAGTTTTCATGTAAACCTTTCAAATTTACAGTTTGATTCTTCTGCCACACTAACCAAAATACATTAGGTTATGTGTCCCACAAGACAAACATAAAACACACCCTTAAGTATACAATACTGTTAAATAATTAGAGAGAGAGCACACAACAAACTTTGAATTCTTGTTTTGTTTAATTGATCAAATGAGGAGTGCTTAGTTTGATTCACACATTGCCACTCAACCTTGTCTCCAGTTTGACATACACATACAGAGATGTATAAAAAGGATGTTTATTTTACAAACTGCCTTTAACCTGAGCATATACTGATTGAGGCCACTTAAAAACAGGCTCATTTGACTCTTGGTGGAGATAGGATGGATATCATAAGTTTTTGAAAACAAAAGCAAAGACTATTGTAGCAGAAAAGTAATCTGATGTGTAAGGAATGTATCACAAGTTTTGGCAGGAGTTTCATCTACACTTGGACAATTACAAATATGCTTTGGGATTGAGTACAGTGCTCGTAGTCTTTTTACACTGTGCTTAAAGACTATCAGACAAGATGTAGTTGGTTGCCATTGTAATGATGGGGGCTCCTGTTGGGACACCAGGGAAAGGACCACTGGATCCTGCGATGTCAACGTGGGAGTAAGGAAGAGGCGTGCCAGAATCCACACCATGCTGCGTAGAAAATTAAAGGTTAATAGTTGAACTTCTCTCTTATTGAACTCTCCATACTTAATAACAATTCGTTCTGACAATGTGTGAGCACCTTGTCGAGCCCAGAGGCCATGATGAGGAAGGCTGCTGGGGTCTGATGTCCTCGAGGGGTGGCAGAGGAAGGCAGGTTGTTAGACTGCAGGATATCCTCATACTCAGACTTGCCCTTGTGGAAGTCATAGTCCTCTCGTCTGATCATGGACACCTCGAACACGTCGCCCAAAACCTCTCCGGCTGCACAAGAGGTCCAAAACCACGGGTTAGTTGTGACAGTGTTATATTGTTTTGGATCAGAAATTATGTCTAAGTTTTTGTTTCAGTCAAAATATCAAACCCTGCCATTTCACCCGATGTACTTTAATAAGGAGTGGTTAAATCAAAGAGTAAGATTACAGTACGAGATGTTTTCTATATTGTATTTGATTTTTTGTTTAAATTCTGACCACTTTTAAAAGGTCAAAATCACTGATAGATGGACATGATGTTTAATTATGATAAAATATGTCTCCTGACACACATGTTCTGTATAATGTTTAATGACACGAAACAGAGAAGCTTTCATAAAAAGAAACAAATTATTGAAAATAACTTTTGGTTCTTGCTGATGAAATGTTTATCTGAATATATCTGATAATCATTGCATTAACTAGTTTAACTATTAAACTCTGGTCTGCCTTTATTAGCTGTTTGGAGCTTATACTGTAGCTGCATCTATCAGTTCTCCTCTGGAAAGCAGTTTGCTCGGTTGTTCAGGAGCTGCTTAAGGAAGTGTTTACAACTCTACTTAATGTAATAAAGGCAAGGAGGTGAAGTGGAAAGACTTGGAAAAACCTGGTGAGTGGACCAGAATCAGAAGAACTTTATTGTTCCCACAGGTATGAAAGAATCAATAAGTAGTTAGTGACTAAACTTCAAAATAAAGTTTGAATAAATAACTATTTACAACGTTATTTAAGAAATTAAAACTTAAAGAAACTCGCAGACATTAATGAACCACAAAGCCCTGTAATTAACAAGATCATTTATTTTAATCCACTGACGTCTCTAATCAGGAATATTTTTCCTCCACTGATCGAAAAAGAAACAATCATGGTCTAAGTTTATTCATTTCATTTGCTCACCTTTCTGCCACTGAGCAGCATTGTTGTTACGATGGGCCGGGCCGTTATCCATGATGATCTACAAAAAGGAAAGTCAAAACTTTAGCTTAGTACAAACAATGATTTCTACTGCAGAGGATTGTTTGATTGTAGTGCAGTACTCACAGAGTAATTGGGTCCCATGGCTCTGATGGCGTGACCAGTCAGAGTAGCGATGGTAAACAGCTGAGGAGAAGTCTCCTTTATGGCCTGCAGACACAGATTACATGATCAGAAAATGAAGGGACAGAAGTAAAGGATGCACAGCTCAGGACTAAGAAGTACTAGTTGAATATTTTCACCTTCTCCTTCATCTCACAGAGCAGGTCGACCATCACCATACGGCCCTCAGCGTCTGTGTTTCCCACTCTCACTCTGCGACCAGCGCGAGAAACAACGAGCTCATCAGCCACATAGCATTCTGAGAAAACACACATGCACAAAATTAAACAGCTGCTTAATACGGGTGTGTTAACATAGATAACATAGAGAAAGGTGTAAAAAAGAAAAAGAAAAAAAAGACTGACCTGCACCAACGCTGTTCCTCACCATGGCCATGGAGCCGATAACCTTCAGGTGTTTTGGCTTCAGCTTGGCTACAATCTAGAAGAGGGCGAAGTGGAGGACAGAGGAAAAAACAAAAGATGCTCATTATATGACAAAGCTTTTTGTTCAACCGTACTGTAAACTTTCATTAAATGCATTCAACTTGAATTATCAGTTAACATTTTATATGTAATTATTCGAATGAAAAGGGGGGGGGGGGGTGATGACCCTTGTTCTCCCCTGAAGAGTACTCAAGAAGGGATGGAATCTGGTGCATCTGTAGCAAAGGAGGTGTGGACTTGCAGTGAACGCTCCTCTGAGTCTAACATCACCTGGAAGAAGCCAGCGACAGCAGCAGCTCCGCACTTGTCCCTGTGCATCCCTGCCATGAATCCACCGGCCTTGATGTCTGCTCCGCCTGTGTCATAGGTGATGCCCTAAAAACATTTAAAATGTTGTCAGTCGAATGCTGGCACCAGAATTTCTCTGACTGATACTTTAACAATAAAACCCAACATTCATTGTTTTTAAATCTCAACATTTTAACTGCCTAAAATCAGCCTTTCTAACATAAAAGTAAAGATATCGTATTTACTACACTGCTAAAAAAAAAAGTTCACAGGAACAGTTTGATGCAGTTTTGATCTCAAATCTTCCTTTTTTTTTTTTTTCTTTTTTAAAGGTACACTTCTGAGGACATGTTCTTATATCTCTTTAAGAGGGGTTTAGAGGATACTCATGTTTTATTAGTTCAAGGATAGAAGTCTGTGGCGTTGTCCTCCCACCTTTCCAACCAGCATGAGCGTCGTGGTGACGGGACCTGCTCCACAGTACTGAAGCTTGATGACTCTGCCCTGGTGACGAGGCACACCTGCATGAAGAGGAATGTTTTAGAAATATACAAAATGTAAAATCGAATGTATAAACAAGCATCTAACAATCCTAAAAGTCAGTGTCTGAAGACATGTCAATAAGGTATGTTCTCATACAGTTGGCACAGCGGTTGACAGCAGCCAGACAGGGATACTCTCTCTCCAGAACTGCCAGGTCGCTCACCACTTCCACCTAGAGGTAAAAAAAAAAAAAAACACAGTCTCCTGTTTGTCAACTATTGTATTGGACCTTGACTGAAATTGTCCCTCCACATTTCACTGATTCTATCTGCACTCATGCTATTTTATTTCTCACTACCTGCACAGGGCTGTCCTTGAAGAGCTTCTGGACGTAGTCAGCCACACGTGGAGCAGCCATACGCTCAGGATCTGAGCCACCGATGTCACGACATGCCAGTCTGAAGAGGGGGAACAAGACAGCAGGTGAAGGGGTTGAACACAACATGGAAAAAAAAAAAAAATCTGGGTTGTATTTGTGTTTTTATTGATGTGACCCACCTCCCACTCTCCAGAGCATCAGCCAGCTCCATCAGTCTCTTCCCCTCAGCCTCCTGGGCTGCCCACAGCCCCAGAACACACACCTTCTGGTCGGATGGTTTGACTTTCGCTTCCCTCACTTCCAGGGGCTTAAATACATAAAGATACAACTCAGAAAGTGGACAGTTTACACTTTGTTTATAATGCATCTGAAATGACCGCTCATCTTGTGTCATAACTGATTTAACATTTTAGAAATTTGTGGTAAACAACTGCTACCTGAAAAAAAAGTAGCTTTTTGTGTTCAAGAGACACATTGTTAAATCAGCCACATGGCGTCAGAAAACAGTTCCCGTGCAATAACACTGAAACTCTCACATCCGTTTTACCCTCAAATTGTTGATTATATCTTTATCGTAGAGCCTGAACAAATAACTGTAGGCCCGTATCATCAGCTGATGTTTGCCAGTGACAGATATATTGGGATGATCGAATTGATTTTTCCTTGTCTACATGTTTGATGCCCTACACCACAGCACACCCCATACACAGTAGAACACATAATAGATCTGTTAAAAAGGGTAGTAGCAAAGTAGCAGTACACATGACTAGCAAAAAGAGATAAAGTTAGAGGACTTTAATGTAAGCCTTGCATATAGAGGTGACTCTTCATACCATGTAGAGAGCCTGAAGGGCTCCCAGTGCTGCCACAATGTTACAGTTCTTGTAGTCTTTGTGTGGAGGACAGACCAGCAGGGGGCGCTGCATACCGGCTTTCAAAGCCCTGAAAAGAAAGGTGGATGAACAAAACAGCAAAAAAACAACAACAAACAAACAAAAAACAGAGATAAACCATCAACTTCAAAGCCAAACGAGGATGGGGGGGGGAGTCAACTGACCTTTTGATGCCGTTGAGTGCTGCGTCACTGAAGCACCTGACGTCATCGTAATCACGGTTTACTGGGCCAGTCGAGGCAAACACGAGGCGGTTGCCAGGGAGACCAGGGACCTTCAGGACCACCACCTCCTCCCCGAGACCCCTGTCCACCTAGAGGAGGAGGAGGAGGTTAAGAAAATAACCACAAAGGAAACAACATCACTAGAGCTGTTACAGTACAAACACGGTTGCTAACTCCAATGTAAGTAAGCAAAAAAAGTTGAAAATATTTTTGTATGCATGTCAAACTGAAACATTCATGATAATAAGTATACTCTACTCATGGCACTTCCTGCTAATGTAAACATCTCCCTCAGAGGCTCAGAGGCTCAGAGGCAAAAGGTCACTAGTCTAGAGATTTGGAGAATCATTACTCCGTCTCATTGCACACCATTTTAGTCTTGGTGTTAAAAGACGTCGTTAAATATTCTCTGCTGAGTTGAATGAAGAGCAGAACTTACGGAGCTGTAGTCCTGCAGTGGTACTTTCAGACAATCGAGCTCAGAGGACAGTGAGTCATGGCTCTCGGTCACCAACACGATGCCATCAAAACTGAGAAGGAAGAAAATAACATGATCTTACACAACAGTCCATGAAGATGCAGAAAAATAACTTCCCCCCCACAGAGAGCATTTCTCCTCATACTCACTTCTGGTTCTTGAGGTCAGAGGTCCATTCGAGGGGCTGGACGCTGGACAGAAGAAAAAAAAAAACACAAATGAAACAGACCTAATTCCTCTTTTATTAGCACTGTCAGCATTGTCTGACACAGAAAAGTGAAGATAGCTCAGAGTGTACAAGTAGGTCCTTATATCAGTTTTTATAATGCAGGTTTAACGATAACAAAGTGGGTCAAAGTGTTCAAACCTGCAAGACCTTTGAGATCTGCTTCCATTTTACAGTGTCACATGTTGATTTCCTGTCTCACTGTAGTGATATAAAACGTAATACCTGCTGTAGTGTGCACTTAACAGAAGAAATCACCAAAGCACACAGTGCATGATGTTACAAATCCCTTAACCAGACAGATTTTAAACGCGTGAGATATTTCTGAGATCAAATGACATGAACACAGAAGAGTCAGAATGAAAGTGAAATCTCTGCAACAAAAAAAAACAAACAATGGGCCCTTTAAATCGAAACTAAATCTAGATTAAAAAAAACATTTTCTGCAACATGAGAGGATCAATTTCATACTTTATGCTGTGAATGATGAATGACCCAATAAAGCATTGGACAAACCATCACTGACTACTAAAATCACTTCATTAAAAGGGAAGAATTACGGTATTCACACAAAGCAGTATGAACAAAAGTATCTTATTGAATAAAACCTCTCTGGATATCACTTAATGCTTTTTTTACCCCCCACGCACCTAGTGCACGCGGGGCTGCAGACAGCTGCACGTTAGAAATCTTCTCAAAAGGTTGAACAAAAGAAAGTCGTTAATCTCACCTGGTGCACATTTTCAGTCCTCCTCCTCCGTTGTCTTCAGAGTGAAAGAGACAGCTGATAGCTGGTGACCACGGTTCCGTCGCCTCACTTAACTCCCGGTTGATCACATGACCCGCAAAGCAGAACTCGTGCTGCCTTTGCGGGCTTCCCGTGGCTCGTAATTTACGACCATCCAACTTTGTTTATGCTTCTTTGTTCTGTCACAATTTTTTTTTTTGTCCTCTAAAGCGACCCTTTGCAATGTTGAGTGGGAATTATTTATGCTACAAACGTTGCAGTATGAATCTAGTTTTTAAAAAGAGACATTTGCGATTTAGGTCGACAGTTGTGTGAATATAGTTGTCCAAGTTTCTACCGCACGTAAAAGGCACATTCCTATTTTCGGTTGGGATATGTAGTTTTTAGAGGTGATAAAAAAATGGCGAAATCTTCATCAAGACGAGTGTAAAACTAAATATTTACAGTCTGTGGTGTAGGAACATCAAAAGGATGTTTGAATTTTAAATATACCACAACACTCCCGTCTGTATCCAGTCGTTTGCTTAATTTGAACAGTTTACCTCCTTTATGACAAGACTAGCCTCAGTCTAGAACTACATATTCTGACCGGAAGAAGTGTTTTCTGTGCATGACAGGAGCCGTGAGTATATTAACCAAAGGCGGTACAAAGGGCAAAAAAGAGCCAGACAGCTGGGTACTGAGGTTACAGCGTCACGTTGCTCTGTAAAATGACTTTTAGTTTCAGGTAAAAGTTGAACTGCACAGCTACAGCTCGAGCTGCAGGTAGGCAGAAGTTATCCACTACTGCAGCTGTCCTCTTGCTTCTCTTTCCCTGATTATAATTTACAGCTCTGTAATCTAGTGATAGTGTAGAATAGATAATGATGAATGCAGCCTTCTCCAGATTAATTAGTTTGAGTTTCTCTTTTTGTTCCCACTGTACCTGTGGTTGCATAATTATGGAAGTTTGACCCTCATTCACTCAAAGTTAGAAGAGTTGCCAAACAGACATGTTAAACCAAAAGTTATTATTTTAATTATGGGAACATGCGAGACTTAAGTTGTACACATTTGTTTTTGCAAGATGTGCAAGTGTGAAGTTACCTCTTTGCAAAGAAAGACATGTGCAGGTCCTGACTATAAAGGACTAATGCCCAAATTATAAACCAATAAATGTGTGAACTGCACCACAATCACTGATATTTGGTTAGTATTGATGAAAAGAAATTGCCAACATTTTTCCTTGATGCACTATCGATTATGTTAGGATTGGCTTCTTTGCTCTGTTTGTATTTTTTTTTTACCATTTTGAACTAAAAACTCTGTTGTTTTAAAAAAAAAAAAAACTTTAACAGGCTATTCAATTTGTGTTTAAGCGCCAGTCAGTTTTGATGTTGTTTCTTAAAATGTAAGGAAAGGGTCAAGGTGGGGTACATAAAAAAAAAACAATATTATCATCTATTGTCGTTCCTCGTCTCCACATATTTCACTGCCCTTCTTCTTCTTCTTCTCCGCAACAGATGAGACTTCTTCTCCTTCGATCCGTTTCTACTGTTAGGACTTTATTCTGTCAGAGGCCACCAATCAACCCACAGAGGCAGCGAGGCTTAAGTGGTTTAGCAATGCGTCTGGTGCAGTTTCAAAGACATGGTGATGCAGGAAACATCAGGGTGGGAGTGGAGCTCGGTGAGGGGCTTGGTGTGGTGGATCTGAAGGCGTTCGACCCCTCAATGCCCTCAACGATGAGAGCGCTGCTGGAGCTGGGAGACGAGGGTCTGCAGTGTGCACAGAGGTATACACACATGTAGTCATAACTGGATATCTCCCTTCTTCCTAAATAATCTTCATCTGTTTTTATCGTCTTCATAAATAACTCAGTGAATCCCTTCTTTCTAACCCAAGTTGTCATGTTTTTCTCCTCCTCTTCCTCAGGGCCTTGTCGTCCGGTCAGTGTGTGCTGGAGCGATCGGACGTCCAGCTGCTGTCTCCTGTGTTGGCTCCAGAGAAGGTGGTGTGTGTGGGTATGAACTACAGAGACCACTGTCTGGAGCAAAACGCCCCCATCCCCAAAGAGCCCATCATCTTCAGCAAATTCCCCAGCGCCATCACCGGGCCGTATGATGACATTCTGCTGCCCTCAGAGAGCCAGGTGAGAACGAAGGCGCTAACTTTATTTATATATCTTTACGAGTGAAAAATAAAAGAGGTGACTTATATGTAGAAATAAAGGGTGAAAGAGGGAGATTTAAAACACTGTGAGAGATTCTTTGTAGGAAGAATTGATGCTTGTCCCAGTAGTCAAATGACTCATCATGGTTTAAGAATGTATGGCATCTATGACAGGTGTGAATTTACGAATCATAATTAACAGGTGTCAGGTAGGCGTACAGCAGTGTACTGTGTGATCTGTGAGGTTCCAACATTTTGGACTAGATGCAGACAGAAACTTGTAAGTGGGTGCTCAGCTCAGACGAGTCTGGCATACTGCAAAATAATACATACTACAAACTGAGTTCAATAGTAGTATGTCGATTTTTGAAGCATAATGTGTTAGTTTGAAGGCACCATCATACTTAAAAAAAAAAGTAAATTAATTCCATCTTCAATTTCATCACATCCAACACTTAAGACTTGTTTTCACCATCAACTAAAATACATTTGTTTCACACGTGTGGTCAGTGCATTTATGTCCTTTGTGCAATAAAGAGCATTAGTACTAAAACATGAGACCTTACTTTGCCACTCTATAAAAACTTTATGAATCAGTAAGAGTTTGTATTTGGACACTGCTGTGGTACCTCTTGACAATCCCTTCTTAATTTTTTTTATTTTGCGTGTCTGCAGGAGGTGGACTGGGAGGTGGAACTGGCCTTTGTGATTGGACGAAGAGGAAAACACATCAAGGTGAGCATTATACATTAGATCTGAAGGCCATGACACTTTAGTCCTCTTCTGTGACACCACCATGTCGACTCCTCTGGTGGTTCAGGAGGAAGACGCTCTCTCCTATGTGGCGGGGTTCACTGTGGCCAATGACGTCAGTGCGCGGGACTGGCAGATGAAACGCAACGGGAAGCAGTGGCTGCTGGGGAAGACGTTCGACAGCTTCTGTCCTCTTGGCCCTGCATTAGTGACCACTGACGCTGTGAAAGGTCAGAGGGGAAAATACAAATCAAAGCAGCAAATCAAAGCCGAAATAAAAAATTAAAATCTATTAGATAAACTGTAGGTTAAAACATTTAGTTAACCTGTTTTTTTCTCAGCAGTGTAATAATGATAAATAAGTCAAAACAAATACCTTTGGTTAAACGCATTGCTGATTCATGTGGGTGTGACACCTTTCCCATGTCATGACGGTATTGATCCAATGTTTGGAAGATTCAAGATTAACAGGACTGTGCAGAGACAGGCTACTTTATGTTAGACAGATTACACACATGGCTTGATGATAGAACAATGATACTATTCAATCAGTTCTGCATGAATAATCCTAACACTGTTAAATTTAAAAATATATACACAACTATGACAAAAATGTAACCTTTATTTATTTAAAATGGTTACTAAGGTAACAATTGAATATCTGCTACAACAGTATCATCAAACTTTATGAAAGACTTTTAAAGACCTTTGAAATGAAATTAACAATTTAAAATCTCACACCAGCAATTGCATCAGTGTCGTATGTAGTTTAAAGATGTTTTCGTCCTGATAGTCAACAGCCACATTCAAAACAATCACTAAAATTATCTTATCTCAACAGGCAGGAAAACACATTAATATATACTATAACATATATATATATATATATATATAAGTATCTGTTGTTCTAAAGTATGAGTCAATGACAGAGTTATCAACAGTGCTGTTGTGTGTTTCACTCCAGATCCTCACAACCTGGGCGTCCGCTGTCTGGTTAACGGAGACACTGTCCAGAGCAGCAACACGGACCAGATGATCTTCAAAACGGAGGCGCTGGTCGCCTGGGTTTCAAAGCAAGTCCACTCAGTGCACAGATTCTGCTCACATGGATGGTGTCTTTACTTCACAAAGACAGTTTTCTCTCATTATGTGTAGAGAACGTGTACGTTTTTCTGCTTCATTTGCTCTCAAGTTTCCATTTAAGAAATGACGCAAATCAAATTGTGTCAAACAGTCTTCAAAAGGAGCACTGTGTAAGAAAATGACCACTTGGGCGATATTACACGCCTCATCATAAACTTATCCAGCACTTCAGGGACTGGAACTCTTACCCTGAAGTACACTGATCTACTGCAGCTCCCTCTGATCTGATCTGAAATTGTCGGACATTAAATCATCTTATCCCCTCATCTAGTTATGAAAATTATCTTACATAACCATGACTTTCACAGTCATTATTAGTAAGTGCTGATCAAAATGTTATTGCTGTAGGGCACATGCTGTTTCCTGTTCCTAAAGCTGTGTTTGATTCCTGTCAGGTTTGTGACATTGACTCCAGGTGATGTGTTTCTGACGGGGACGCCCCCGGGCGTGGGCGTGTTCAGAAAGCCACCGGTCTTCCTCAAGGTAACTTCAGCCATGAAACTAAGACAGAAGAACTAGTGTGCCCGAGTTCTTACGTCTGTAGTTGTAAAATCAACACTTTACTTTAGCTACAAAATGTAATCTAAGGATTGTATGTCTCCGTTTTAGGACTATTTATAGTATGTTTTTAGAAAGCAGGAAATAGATTCACTTAAATAGAAGTTAAGATATTTAGTGTCTATACTACTTTTTAAACTTCTATAAGATATTGTATTTTAATTAATGCATTGACATTGTCTTACAGAAAGGAGATGTTGTGGAGTGCCAAATAGACCGGATAGGATCCATCGTCAACAAAGTGGTCTAAACTCTGCTGCTGCTGAAAAACACCAGCAGACCGTTCAGGATTAATCAAACTGCACTACTAATCGACTGCTGCTTCACACCGCTGCCCAGATGATTTATCTCTTGTTCCCTGACGGAATGTGTGAAAACCAGCGGCAAATGCATTAAAATATTTGATCCATGACAAAAGTTTTCTTACTGACAATCAGGGAGTAGAAA